ATCAATTATCTCTACTCTCAGATGAGATCCGGAAAATATGTTATGGTTATGATGTATAAAAAAGTATATTAAACATTTTCATATACAAGGACAGATTTAAAAAATTAAGACAATATAAACTCGAGTATTTATTTTCGTAATGACTAAAGTTAAATTTCGAGCATAAAATGAAGTTAATAAGCAAGTTGGTATTTTTTTATATTGTGACAAACGAGCACACAGTCCACCTGATAGACTGTCTACATTTATCCTCGATTAAGATTAAAAATGCAGATGCGTTGTCACTCGTGAGGACTAAGATGGAATGCCTCGTTTCCAGTAAAAAGGGTATCTCGTTCTCTATACTCATCTATACGAATCACAGCAGCAAAACTGCTATTTTACGCTGGTATTCTGTGAGAGCGTGGTCCTTCACCGGTCGAGCCGACACATTCGTGCTACAACTATTCTAGTAATATTTTTTTATAGGATAAGGATGACAAACGAGCACACAGTCCACCTGATGGTAAGTGGTTGCTGCGGCCCATATACATTTACATCTATCCTCTATTACAAATCAAAATGCAGATGCGTTGTCACCCGTGAGGACTAAGATGGAATGCCTCATTTCCAGTAAAAAGGGTCTCCGGTTCTCTACACTCACCAAGCGAAACGCAGAGGTAAACCTCTACTTCACGCTGGTATTCTGTGAGGTCGTGGTATCACCCCGGTTCGAGCCGGCCCACCCGTGCGACAGCAAAAGCCGCCACGTGGCTCTACCACTGTTGAAAAGCTGCAGCATGGCTCTACCACTATTTGGTTTTTACTACGGTACTGTTAACTTATGAATCGTTGCCAAGAATTAGTTACTTGTAAAATATTATGATATAATTATATGTGAAAAATTAAAATTAATAAGAATATTATGTGATCATTATAATGTTTTTCTTTTATGGAAGATTAAGATACCATTACTATTATATAAGTAGGGCGACAAGCGAGTACTCAGTCTACCTGATAGCGAGTGGATTAGGTGCTGTGGTTATTAGACATCCATTCTCGATTAAAGATCGAATTGGAAATGTAAGGCAAATGATGAAATAATCATTGAGGACTGTGATGGAAAATGGTTCTCGCCACTTATCACATGTAATATAGCAGTATTATTTATGCTGCTATTTTACGTTGCTTTTTTGAGAAAGCACAGTCCTTCCGATTTTGAACGGATTCATTCGTGCTGCCTATAATACATCTGCAGGTAGATTAATGCGATCTTAATTTATATAATATTGGAGTGACAAAACTAGTTACTTCTAGCTAATTCTTTACTTATATTGTTTCGGAATTACGAAATAACATTTTTTAATTATCTATTTATGTATATCCTGAGTCGTGGTAGCTTTAGTACTTACGTGGTAGAGCCATACTGCAGCTATATTAGTAGTATAGTTGTAGCACGAATGGGTCGGCTCGACCGGGGAAGGACCACGCTCTCACGGAATATCAGCTTAAAATAACAGCTTAACACTGCTGTGTTTCGTATGGTGAGTGTAGAGAACTGGAGACCCTTTTTACTGGAAAAGAGGCATTCCATCTTAGTCCTCACGGGTGACAGCGCGTCTGCATTTTGATTCGCAAACGAGGATATATGTTGATGTCTATAGGTCACAGCAACCACTTACCATCAGTGGACTGTGTGCTCGTTTGTCACCCTATCCTATAAAAAAAAGCTCAGAGGTCAAGCGATCACTGTAATTTCACAGTACGCGAACAACCCATGTTCCATCGATTTCTTCGATTATTCGAGATTTCCTTATGATGCTTTCCTTTATCGCATAGAACGTGGAAGATTAAAATTTAAATTAAAATTGTAATTAACAATTTAATTGGTACCGGCGGAGATCGCACTTGCGTTAATTACGTAATGAGATTTAAGGCGAGTTTAGCCACTGACGGTACCGAGTAAAACTTAAAATATAAGTATTAATTTTTATATCAATTCGTAAACACCAGCAGTAACCCCTTAAGAAATATGAGAGGATCTGTGCCTGTGTGTCATTTTATTAAATAGTTTATCATCTATATATATATACCATCTCATCATCATCATTACAGCCCTTCACAAGTCCACTGCTGAACATAGGCCTCCCCCAAATAATGCCACAAAGCACGGTCCTGAGCCACCTGCATCCATCGACTTCCTGCATATCTTACCAGGTCGTCACTCCATCTAGTGGGGGGACGCCCTACACTTCGCCTGCCGGTACGAGGCTGCCACTCGAGAACCTTTCTTCCCCATCGGTTGTCGGTTCTTCGAGCTATATGGCCGGCCCATTGCCACTTCAGCTTACTAATCCGTTGGGCTATGTCGGTCACTCTAGTTCTACTGCGGATATCCTCATTTCTGAGTTTATCACGCAGAGAAACTCCGAGCATAGCCCTCTCCATAGCTCGCTGAGCGACCTTGAGCTTCCTCATCCGGCCAGCAGTGAAGGACCACGTCTCAGTTCCGTATGTCATCACTGGCAACACGCACTTGGTGTACAGTCTCGTTTTCAAGTTTTGAGGTATACCTGACGAGAAGATGTGCCGTAATTTCCCGAACGCTGCCCAACCGAGTTGAATCCGTCGATTGACCTCTCGGTCGAAGTTGGACTTACCTAGTCGGACTATTTGTCCCAGGTAAACATACTCGTCAACAACTTCGAGCTTAGTGTTCCCAACAACTACCGGCATAGGTGTGACATGGACATTAAACATGATCTTTGTTTTGTCCATGTTCATCTTAAGACCTATCCGTTGGGAAACACTATTGAGGTCATTGAGCATAGTGCTTAGGTCCTCCAGCGATTCTGCCATAAGGACTATATCGTCGGCAAATCGAAGGTGAGTGATGTACTCGCCATTGATGTTGATACCGTATCCTTTCCAGTCCAGAAGCTTGAAAACATCTTCCAATGCAGCGGTAAAGAGTTTCGGGGATATGACGTCACCCTGTCTTACACCTCTCTGCAATTGGATAGGTTTCGTACTTTGGTTCTGTACTCGGATAGCCATCGTAGCCCTACTGTACAAGCACTTCAACACTTCGATATACCGACAGTCAACTTGGCATCGCTGAAGGGACTGCAGCACCGCCCAAATTTCGACGGAATCAAAGGCTTTCTCATAGTCCACATACGCCAGACATAGTGGCAAATTGTACTCCTCGGACTTCTGTACAATTTGCCGAAGGGTATGTATGTGGTCTATGGTGCTAAAGCCTTTTCGGAAACCGGCTTGTTCGGGAGGCTGGAAGTCGTCAAGTCTGCGCGCGAGACGATTCGTAATGACTCTCGAAAACAGCACGTAGACGCGGCTCAGAAGGGAAATCGGTCTGTAGTTCTTCAAGAGAGCGTTGTCGCCTTTCTTGAAGAACAAGACCACCGCACTTCTGCTCCACGCCTCCGGTGTAATGCCACCATGGAGGACGGAATTAAAGAGCTTCTGAAGGACTTCAAGTACCGGTTTTCCACCCGCTTTCAGAAGCTCCGCTGTAATTCCATCCTCGCCTGGGGCCTTGCCGTTTTTAAGGTGCTGGAGAGCCATTCTAATCTCGCTCAGACTGACGTACGGGATATCATCGGAATAATGTCGGATAAGACTCGCTCTTGGATCGTTGCTCACACTTGCGTGCGGCTCCAACGATGACGTGTACAGCTGCCCATAGAACCTCTCAATCTCACTCAAAATCTCAGGTGCCCCGGAAACGATGCTGCCACATTCTGTCTTCAGCTTTGACAGTTGGCGCTTTCTGTCAGACAGATCTCTGGCAAAGACTTTGGAGCCTTGGTTCCGCTCGATCGCTTCTTCAATACGAGCTGTATTGAAGTTGCGTAAGTCCCGCCGCATGCATTTGGAGATCTGTCTGTTCAGTTGCCTGTATGCTGTCAAATCTGTTGAAGAATGTAGCTTCATCTCCCGTCTAACAGCCATGAGATTAAGAGTGTGATCGGAGAGTTTTTGTGTTCTTCTGCGGCGGGTCTTGCAGAACTTAGCTCCGACCGCATGGACAGTTTCCACGAGCTTGTCATTTCCACGAGCTTGTCACCATCTATATATATACCATCTATATAAATAAAATAATACATTTTTTTTAGATAAGGGCTAAGCCTTATCTAAAAAAAAATATTGCGATATTTTCATTTAACATAAATTTATTAAAGTTTTAAGAAACAACGATTTTTATACGGGGTTTTTCACGCGGTCAACTGTACGTCCCCGGATAGTTTATATATTTTTGCTAAATTTTGTCTTTTTGATGTTTTTTCCTCCGCACATACGATAACATTGTTAAAATATATCACGCAACGCGGATGAAGTCGCAGGTATCTGCTAGCATAAAATAATTCGAAAGAACCGAGGAAAAAAATTCAAACTCCCAAGTTATAATGTAACTATTCAGACGACATTGTAGTTGTTACCTTAAGCTTGTGACAATCCTTAGTTCAATCAAAAGAGCCAAAAAAACTTTAAATAAAAAGTAAAGGCCGACTTTAAAGAACTAAAAGGAATAAAATAATTTCACATAAAGTCGGGGCTGCAATTCTTCCAAACACAATGTCTTATTACCAGATGTAGCAGGAAAAATATCAACCCTGCAACGAGAGACACATGTATAAGTAGCGGCACGAAAGTCTAGCGGTTAACGTTATTGCGCATAAGTCGCGCTGATTGGCTCGTGCGCGCCCCTACATATTTCTTTCAGCGCTAGACTTACGTGTCGCGACTTTATGGGCTGATGATAACGAAAAAGAAGCCTATAACACGAGTGGTAAAATTAAACTATATGATAACTTAAAAACTTCTGGTAAAATCGTGATCAAATTTATACGGTACCACATGAGAATCACCAGCTTTTAAATAAAAAAGAATCATCAAAATCGATAAAAATTTTTGAGATAACACATAAAAAATACAGTCGAATTGAGAACCTCCTACTTATTTTTTAAGGAGGTTGAAAATAGTCTTAAGTCACTTACTGATGTGTTGTCACATTGAAGAATAGGTGAGAATACTGCGGCGCAGAGTCCTCAGGTCCGTGCGGTGCGGGAAAGGACATCACCAAAAGAACTGGCTTCCGGGCGAAGCGACGTTTGGAGGCACGGAGGAATGCGATCGAATCGTTGGCTATGAGATCTGGATAGTAGTCCTGGAATGCAGTTTGGTAGTTTGAATGGGTTAATATTGGTACACTAGATCAATAAGACGTAGAATTACACAAAAAGTATCCAACTCACACAACAACACTACTTTCAAGATATTATGATATGTTTGAAGTTTGAAATGATATTCAACGGTAATTGCTTGCTACGATTTTGCTTATTATCAGTTGTGACTTGCTGGATTTTTTTCTTAATGGAAAACGTTACCTCTACACAACGATTTTCTCCTGTATCGTGGAGGTAGTTTACAAACATAAATTGCACAAGGACAAACATCATGACCCGGAACAATTATTTGTAATCCATACAAATACTTGCTCCGTGCGGGATTCAATCCCGCGGCCCCCGGCGCTTCAACTCATTTCTATTAAATACATTAAATATAATACTACAAGGTTTTATTTAATGTTAATTTGAGTAGATTTAAACATTTGCGTAACTACATTCATTTTATGATTACGTACCTAAAGAATATATCAAATATAGATATGTACATGCAAAAAAGTTTCAATCTAATTATTAATATTAACCCGCCACCACGAATTTTATAATTCAGGAATTATAATTAATGCACGTAAGTAATATGTCGCATTTTTAACGGGCGAGAACCAGGTCCAGCTGTAGACTTTTACGGGCTGATGATGGTAAAGAAGAAGAATATGAAGTAACATTATCATCGTCATCAATAGTCTACTTCTAGTCGCGTGCTCACGGGGACTATTAAATTTGTTCCTTTAGCACGTTTAGCGGTTTATGTGGTGGTATAGTTGATTGCTGTCCTTGACATTTTGTGTGTGGATATGTTAGATATAAGAAATTTTGCGATAATGATCATAAAATCCTTCGAAACTATTTATTTTATGTCTAGAATGTTTCTGTAGTTACCATTTGTCATTCTTTAATACGTACAGGATGATATGCTGTCGTATATTATCTTTAGCAACGCATAAAGTACGTAAAAAGATTATGTAAAAAACGCATCCAAGTGCCAGTCGGACTCGCCCATGAAGGGTTCCGTAGCAGCAAGTAACATAATTTACGATTTATTACGTATTAAAAAAAACTACTTTTTACTCCTACTCTACTACAATTTTCGGTAGAAGCTTACATGGTAATGTACATCATATATTTTAATTTTATCATTCTCTTATTTTAGAAGTTACAGGGGGGGGGGGGGGGGGGACACATTTTACCACTTTAGAAGTATCTCTCGCGCAAACTATTCAGTTTAGAAAAAATATATAAGAAACCTCTATATCATTTGTGAAGACCTATCTATAGATACCCCACACGTATGGGTTTGATGAAAAAATTTTTTTGAGTTTCAGTTCTAAGTATGGGGAACCCCCAAAATTTTTTGTTTTGTTTTTCTATTTTTGTGTGAAAATCTCAATGCGGTTCAAAGAATACTTCTACTTACCAAGTTTCAACAGCATAGTTCTTATAGTTTTGGAAAAAAGTGACATACGACGAATCCATAAGGGTTTCGTTTTTTGCCATTTGGCTACGGAACTAAAAATGACTTTTAATCTTGAAACCATAATGAAAATGTTTATATTTTCTAAAAGGAATAGTAAACATACCCTGTGATAGTCGTCTCCGTGCTTAATCTTTTTGCCGTTCATGTTGACACTGTAATTGTAGTATTTGGAGTTCATGATGAGGCCGCCCCACTCGCGCCAACCGGGCGGAATGTACGATCCGTTGTATTTGTTCAAATACTTGCCGAAGTAGCCTAAAAACATAAAAAGTATTACCTGAAATTATTTCATAACTCCGACATTAAATAATGGTGAATACGTTTTGAAAGAATGCGATTATAAATTATTCTGAAATTAAGTGGCCGCTCCTTTTGGGCGATTTGCGGGGCGAAGCGTTCGGCGTACATAGCCAACAAACACACGCTGTGATTTTACAGTGTCTTGATTGACTGCCTCCACTATGTGTGCCTCGCGCGCAGCCACCCATCACATCCCGCCAAACGCAAGTTTGGCAAGTGCGTTGGCAATCGCAGTTTTTATTTTATAGATGTTATTAAGAATACTCTCCTGTTTTGTTTCCCTCTGTCGCCTCTTACGACACCCGTGGGACGATATGAAGTAGTAGATATCCTTACACGGTCATTACGCGATGCTAAAACACTATAATATGCCATATGCTATTTCATACAGAACACAACCTAACGTCATGTTCACTAAAGTTTCAATAGAATATCATCACAATTTCGAACTTCGTTCACGGTGGTAGGTCTCAACGGAAAGTAGCCATCTGCGCATTGTACCAGTTCCAGCCATTGTGCTGCACCAGCATTGTAGTTAACATAACATTTATACGTGGTAGAGCCATGCTGCAGCTATATTAGTAATATAGTTATAGCACGAATGGGTCAACTCAACCGGGGTAGGGCCACGCTCTCACAGAGTACCAGCATAAAATAGCAGCTTAACACTGCTGTGTTTCGTATAAAGAGTGTAGAGAACCGGAGATCTATTTTACTGGAAAAGAGGCGCATTCCATCTTAGTCCTCACGGGTGACAACGCATCTGCATTTTGATTCGCAAACGAGGATAGATGTAGATGTCTATGGGCCATAGTAACCACTTACCATCAGGTGGACTGTGAGCTCGTTTGTAACCCTTATCCTATAAAAAAAGTAACACTACTAATACCTTTTTAACCACTCCAACTAAACTACTAGGAGTAGTCCACGACAGTAGTCGAATCACAGATTCGAACCCACGACTTTGGAGTAACCTTAACCGTAAGACTATTGTAGTATCACAGTAGACAAGTGCACTCTTTATATCCTCAACCCCATAGTCTTACGGGACGGGAATCCGATACGAACAGAAAGGGATCAGGTGCAGGACCAACTACTTTACGCGCTTTCCGAGGCACGGGAGATAACACCGAGTTCAGTCGACATGATATAAATATTGTGAGTAGGCTTTTATTAGTTTCCGGTTCTCTTTACTCAGCATATGAAGGACAGCAGCGTAATGCTGCTAATTCACGTTGGTATTCTGCGCGATATTGGTCTTTCTTAAGTTGACACGTTCGTGCTATAACCATAATATAGCTGCAGCGTAGTTTCACCGCATAATGTGATTTATTTCATAAATCTTATACATTGCACAAAAATAAATGTCCATTTTCAGTTAATGTAGGTATACCTACATGTAAACGGAATGATAAACTTTTTGTACAGTCACCATCAGCAAGTATACAACACAGATATATACTATAAATTTAAATGTAATAAAAATTTTTTGATTGTAATGTAACGGATTTGGTTTTATCTCGTTACCATGGCCTCTTTTTCTAGACTGGTTTCTATATCCTCTTTTCCTAGACTAGTTTCTTTTCTGCCTGGAAATCTGTTTGGTAAAGGCATCTATGTATTTCTGCAGCAACGTGCCAACAAAAATTTTGTTCGCGTTTAAAAGGTAATGGGCATCTATAATCTTTGACGGTTCCGTAGCGCAGTGGATTAGCAATGAGTTGCGGCGCTAAGGGCAGCGGGTTCGAATCCCGCACGAACCAAGTATTAGTATATTTGTATGTCCTGCAAGTATTGTTCCGAGTCTGGATGTTTATCCTTGCGAAATTAATATATGTAAATTGCCCCCACGATACAGGAGAAAATCCTAGTGTGAAGGTAACGTTTTATAATAAAAAAAGAAAAAAAAAAGAAATTGCACGTATGAGACATCAGATATCTTACAAAAAGTAACAAAATAGGGTGCCTATACATTTACAACTTTTTGTTTATGGTTAGTTGCAGATGTCCGTGGGTTGTAATGACCACTTACCGATGTTCACAAAATAAATTGATTTGATTTGATTACCATCAGGTGGATTGTAAGTTTATTTTTAACTTGGCTAAAATAAAAAACAAATATTCACTATCACACGATTCGACTTTCACTTTTTTTTAAATAAATAAAAACTATTGTGTCGTAAACTAATCAATCTTAAATTAATTTAGAGTACCTATGTAATGCAAAAGTAATCCTTTTTAATGAAAAGGTGCGAGTACAAAAATATTTCGTTTGATGACAATGGTCCCCAAATTTTCATTTAGACGTCGTTGTAATGCAAATGCGGGGAGATTTTTAATTTTCAAGAGAAGCGTCTGCGTCAGCCGGCTCAGATGAAGTAGGCAAGGAGACGCTGGTCGCTGCTAGGGATGAAAATATTTTAAGGAAATCATAACAAAGAACAATATTTTCAGTGTATTCCTGGAGTGTGAATATGGTTTTATTAGAAATTTTTAAGAAACTTATGCTTTCAGATAATGTTTAGTGCTATGCATCAAGTCATGTTTATTTATTATATACGCTTCTAAAATTAAGATCACCTACGCTAGAAAGGCTTGTACTAACTGGAAACATTCGCTTGTATTGTAACAGCTTAAATTCGGGCATTATATTAGTGATAACTCCTTCAGTCACTACCTTCATTGTAAGGTAATGTTCGAAATAAATTTCCGAAATGTAACATTACAAGCGAGCGCTTACGTGTCAATATTTACCTTAAATAGCTTTTTTTTTTATATACGTACACTTAAATGTCAGGGATAGTAATACGCCAGACAAACACTGATTTAAAACTACACAAATGACAGCCCTAACTCCGTCTCCTTGTAAATTCCTCTGCAAGTTATGAGCACAATCACCAGCTGGGCGCTCGAACGAACGGGGTAAATTTCTTAGTGCTTCAATTAAAATTGTCACATCAAATGCAGCTCCCGGCGAATTTGCATATACTAATTAATATATAATAATTTGCATAACACAAGCAACATTATTTGATTAAAATGTATTATAGCGTCAACTTTAATTAGTGCAAGGAGGATATTATGTACAATAATTCTGTATTGTGGTGAGAAAATAAAATAAATTATTATTATTATTATTATTAGTTATGGAAGGGCTGTGAGATCATTTGTACCGCGTGATAGTCGGCAATATATCCAATCCTTTTAAGGCTAGGTCACACATTGACTTTTCTGGATGTGATATATTAGGAGTATTTTTTTTTTTGGAAACATAATAAATGTATTGTCAACTCTGACACAAAGAGCACTATATGTGGATCGTTACCCCTTAGGACTAAAATGAAATGCCCCATAACTTTTATAATAGGTCGGGGAAAAATGTATTTTATATACAAATTCAAGACAATTGTTTTTCTAAGTTTAGTTCCATTTAATTATAATATATATGTATGCCATTTTGTACGATAACTTGTTACCATTTTGTAGGTAATGACATAATCTCGTTGCTGTAGAAATCTTGGGACTTTTGATCCTCCCTTGATATTAACCTAACACTACCCAAATAATTCTGAAGAGACAGACACAGGTGAAAATCTGAGGGTGCAAGTTCAGGACTATATGGTGGATACATTAACACTTCCCAACCAAGCTCTCTCAATTTTTGCTGAGTGGCCAAAATGTGTGTGGTCTGGCGTTATCATGATGAAAGACCACTCCTTTTCTTAAATTAACTAAGTGGTCAACCAGTAGTGGTGTTGGAAGTAGAGGTGCTGGGATTAGTGGTGACGGTGATAGTGCACGCGAATGAGGGTGGGCGGGAAGTGCTCTTCAAACCAGGTAAGACACATCATTTTATTTTATCGAGCGGATGTACGCGTAGTAATTTTTTACCAACTTTAATATAATGGACTTCCGCAAAGTAACGCCTGATTCTATTAATCACTCCTTTTCTGTTGATCAAATCTGTCCGTTTTTCTCAGTTTTCTGCTTGAGTCTCATTAGTTGTTGGCGGTAGAGATCCGAATCGATGGTTTTGCCCGGCGATAAAAGCTTATAATAATAAACGATACTTTTCCAATCCCAACATACACACAGCATCAACTTATTGCGTGTTAATTCGGGTTTCGCTTCAGTCTGTGGAGCTTGACTAACCTTTGACCATGATCTTTTTCGCACTTTCTTGTCATAGGTGATCCAGTTTTCATCACCAATGATCAATCTTTTCAAAAATGGTTCAGTTTCATTAAGTTTCAATAGAGAACCGCAAATGAGTACAAAATTAATTAAGTTTTTTTCAGTGATCTCGTGTGGTACGCAAATATCGAGGTTTTTTGAAAATTGTTTTATCGTTATTCCTCGACTTTGTTGTAACTACTGATATACCGATCTTGCTCCACTTTTTCAAAAATGGCACTGACATTATCTTTATCTTTGACATAAAATTCTCGGACTGAAAACGCTTGAACCAACTTTGTGCTACTTTTTTCACGGCTTGAGTCTCATTTTTTTGTAATAAAACATCAGAATGTATAAAATTTCTTCGTTAGATTCACTCATTTTGGCGGACAGAAAAATAATTGAAAAATGGCGGGAAAGTATTTTTTACTTTTTATTTTAATTTTTCTTATTTATTATTCTTCTTTTTTTTCTATATGTATTGATATTAAAGCCAGCCAGATACAAACAGTACATCCATAGAGATATTTCTTCAATTTTATGCAAACAAAATACGAAAAAACTTATCCTCCGACATATTACGAGGTAGAGCCACGCTGCAGCTATATTATGGTTGTAGCACGATGAGTCGGCTCGACCGGGAAGGACCAAGCAGCTTAATGCTGTTGTATTTCATATGGTGAGTTCTATTATTAATAAGTCATCGCGCGCTGGCCAGAGTGCACGATGACTTATTAATAAACTCGGGGGGTGAATGTAGAGGTGTAAATGTCCCTTTT